CACACACACACACACACACACACACACACACACACACACACACATAGCTCAGCCATGCCATCAAAAAAAAAGTAACATGGTCCTTAGAAATCTTGACACATGTCAGAAATGCAGCAAAACTGTTCATCATCAGAACATGAAAATGAGAGCATCTTATCAAAACATGTTATCTCACAGTTTTGTATCAATAAATCAATAAACAAATTCCGTACACGTTGTCATGGCAAGATGTGACAGATGAGACTCTGATTCTACGTTACTATCACCACCTACAGAACACAGCGCTACAGTTAAGAACAGACACAACGCCTCAGTCGGGGACAGGACGCCAAACAGGAGGAGAATGTGGTTGGATTTGGATCAGCTGGGAGAAATGAACGCCTACATTTAATAAAATGGTCAATCCCGGTTTATGTCTAGAGAGATCAGACCAAGCAACTACATGTGCACTGGAGAAGACTGTACACCACAGGACAGTGCAGAATAAATAAAGAATGGGTGAACGAAAGAGGTGTTTTCTCCAAATAACAACGCCAGCAGTAATATTGCTGCTGAGCCTCGGCATCAATACATCGGGATTCAAATTATGACTATAAGTCCTCTCTCTTTCCTTTTTTTCCTTCTCCAGCGGGGAATGAAATCAAAGCACAACATGGTAACATGAACTACTTCACCTTTCAAGTACAGACATATTTTCATCTCATATTAATTTTTCTTTTCCACAAACCTCAAAGAAAACAAATGTTGCTACACTGTGTGTGTGTGTGTGTGTGTGTGTGTGTGTGTGTGTGTGTGTGTGTGACAGTTCAGGAAATGATTAAAAGGAAATGATAATCACAAGTTTTACATGACGTGACAGAAATGCTGGGCAGCCTGAGGAGCTCACAGAGGGAATAGAAAGCAACCACAGGTTCACGTAGGCAACCAGACAAAAACATTTAAATCATAACTCAGAAACACAGTTAGCGCAGCGTGGACGTTCTTCCTTGTCTTTCCATTTAAGTTTAAGCTGACACTCAGCTTTCCCCATAGCTACACAGTGGTGGAGGTCCGGAGGTCTGCAGGAGTTTGGCTGTTCAGGAGAGGATTTTCTCCCGGGTTTCGGGCAGCTTGAGAGCTACCAGACCTCCGCAGACGAGAGCGATGAAGGCCAGGATGATGGGGATGATCTTCGTGATGCCGATGAAGGCTGCAAAGATGAAGCTGGCAAGGATGGCAGCGAACTTACAGATCCCATTCAGGATACCGAATGCTGTCCCTCTGCAGGGTCACAAAGACAGATGAAGATTACGTGGCCGGCAATTAATTGAATTTGGTTGTGACAGTGCAAGTATGTTTTTTCTTGGTGAGGCAATTGCTATCTGAATAAAAATGATATACTGTTGGGCTAGACATCATCTTGGAATCAGATGGGATCCGATCAGCCGCAACACCAAATCTGGCCAAGGGTGTAAATGGGTGTGGTCCGGCTCCCTTGTTGGTCCACAGTTTAAATTCTAAACTGGGAGGCCAGATTGTCCTGAACCTTTGGTTGCTTTGTTGGACAATACTTTTTAGGGCAGAGGTTAAATTGGCATGTAGCTTCTAATACAAAAGTCAACAGGCGATTTAGATGAAAAACATTCTGTCCCTAGCAGATCAGGTTAAATTAGTAAACTAGCATTAGCTTATTAGTTGATACTACCTCTTTGTGTTGGAGAGAGTAAATCAGTAAAATTCAATAACTTAAATGTGTCATCCATACGCTCTTGACACAGCACAGAAAAGCCCATTGCTACTGGAGCTGCGTCCGATCTCTTCCCGGCGAGCATGCGACAACATTTAACGGTTCCACTGACTTGTGTTGTCACCACAACAACAATCTCGATAGTCTTCTGTACTAGTCAGATGACCATGGAAATAATTTCAATGTCTGTTCTACTCCTATTCTTTTTCTACGGGTGAGGCGTTTAGCGAACAGCTATCGGAACAAACTTTACAGAGAAGGGGTAGAGATGAACAGTGTGATGGTAGAGAGGGATAGTTGGACTGTACCTTTTCGAGGAGGGGTAGAGTTCCACAGAAATGACCTCTAATCCATTCCAGGCCGCCACACTGGTGCCATAGAAGAGACACTGCCAACATATTACAGCTCCTTGACTGAAACTTAGCAGCAACAGAAAAGTGCAGGCAGCTGACACCAACATAGAACCACCTGGAAAGACAGATGGATGATGACGAAACCATAATAAAGTCCCACCTTACTTTACCAATGCTGTGACACTTGCTGCTGATCCCACCTATTATTCTGATTCTTCCTATCTTGTCCATGAACAGTGCGGAGATGATGTTGCCAGGCAACACAGCCAAACTGCCCAGGAAGCTGACCATGTAGATGACGATGTCGTTCTCCTCCTGGAAGTTCAGATGGCAGCCCTTTTTAGGGTGGAGGAAGGTGGTGTTCTCCATTCGACAGCCTTTGAACTTCTCCTGCCAGAGGTCTGCAGAGATCACCGGGATTACATTAGGCTGTAAACAGAGGTTTTCTCCTCTCTGTGCTCGACGATGACCATATTGCAAATGAGATGAGACGTTCTAGGGTGGCATTAGTGTTTTAATATTTTACACCACTAATTAGTTGAGTTTATTGAGCCCTTTTATTGAAATTTTAAGGACCCAGCGGTGTAAAAGTTCTTTACATTTTTTATTACAATCATTATTATTATATAGTCATTTTTGTATGATACCTGTGTTATAGAAGACAGTGTTTTTGATGGTGCAATTCTCAAAGAAGGTGTTGGTTGACTTGACATCCTCAAAGTAGCAGTTTTCAAACAGAGAATCCTCGAACTTGACAGACTTTATCTCAATGTTTGCAAACCTAAATGAAAGGAGATGAAACTCATTAAGCAGCAGTATAAACAACAGTAATATATGTATATAGTATATACATACAGTATATGTGAGGGGCAGTGTCAAGGAAACCTACTTGTCATGGATGTACTCTCCCTCACGGTGGATCTGGTTGACCAGGGAGAAGTTGAAGTGGAAGCGTTCGACCCGTTCTCGGTGGAACACTTTGACCTTGGACTCGTACTCCTCGTACTGCATGTATTTGATCATGTCCGGAAACCACACTCCCAGCCCGTGGTAGCTGATACACAGAAACATACAAACCCGAGTGCATTAAAACTTTTTTTTGTGTGATTTAGTAACATTAACAGCGACATTTTTTCTCTCTTAAGATAGCTCTGCCTACAGGCTACATAGAATTGTTTCTACCTGAAAGCCAAGCAGAACCAGACAATAAACAGGAAGAGGCCTTGCAGTCTGAGCTCTGGGGCTGATAGGGACATGATGTTAGCCATCACCTAAAAGAGGAACAGATAATAAAAAAAAAACATGGTAAGGTCAGCTGGAAAACAAATGCAACGTGTTTTTGTTCAATTCTTCGTATTCTTTTCTATCTTAGCATTTTAGCGTAGCAGTGATCCGCAGACCTGTTGCAACATGGTCATGTGTCTGACGGTCCAGCGCTGGAAGGCCGTCCCGGTGTCACTCTGGATCTCTATGAAGTCGTCCTCCTGGGTTTCCGGTGTCTTAATGTTGGTCGCCTTCACAAAGAGAGAGGAGTTTGAACATATTAAAGACAATAACTTCATATTCATTTCCCGATTGTGTCCCAACGGAAATTCAGATTTCATCATCATTTAATATAAAGATTTTTAAACAAGGATTTCACAAAAACCTGAACATTTTTATTTAGGAAAGAAAGAAGGACACATTGACATTTCTTTTCTTAAAATGTAATTTGTCTTTATTAGGACATCTGCGTTACATTCTCACTGATATTAGAACATGTGTAGGCCATTCGGTCACCTGATAATAAGCCAGAAGTGGAGCTTATTGCTACTTAGTCTTTTTTTGTGTGTGTATACAAATCACACAGCATGTGACACAATGCACAATAACAAGACCCTGAAACCGAAGCAGCTAAGTGGAATTCAGCAGTCATTCATTTTTATATTTCCACCTGTGCTCACCTGGCTTGAAGAGTTCCACCTGTGTAGTCTGATGAAATAGCTTTCTGAAAGCGAACTGTTTTTATCTGACAGCAAAGACAGATTTTGATTAGAAAATGTTACTGCCAATTTGAAATTTGACTGTGGGTCAGCTTTTTCTTGCTCTAAACTATTATTGTCATATCGGCCTTTAAAAATCCACTATCGGTCTGGCTCCATATCGTTGCTTACATTTGAATGCCATCATTTATGTCATTTTTGACGACTGATATCATGTGCATTTATGTCGTTAACGAACTGCAAAATCTGATAACTGATTGCTGAGCGAAAACGGCACTCACAGTGAACACTCTCTCTGGCTCCCCCTTGGCCTTCCAGTTGGTGTCGTGAACTTGACGCAGGATCATCCACGCCTCATCATGTCGGGCACTCTTGGAAAAAAAAACACACACACAGACATACGAACGCATCAATCCTCTCAGGGTTTCCGACACGTTTATTTCCCAGATGCAGCTGAGCAACAATGTTCCCATGATGTCTGCCTCTTATCAGATAGGGGGGGCGTGTGATAATTTGGTGGGTGTGTGATATGTTGGAGCGGCCCTGCTGTAACATGCAAACACAATACCACATGTGGTTAAAGGGCTGACAATGAACGTGGGTGAGAAAGCAGGGGTGGGTGGTGTTCTGGTGGCGCCTTAGCAGCCTTTCGCTACCTTTGCACAGCAGTGGGATGTTGCAGTGGTGGCCAATGATGACTCAACATTCTTAGCCAATCACAGTTTGACGTTTAATATTGGACACTGACATAATGAATATTATCAATCTTAAGATTCTTAATCCATCCCGTATTAGCAGTGCAGATAAATGTGTTTTTAAAAAAAATGCTTTGCAGACAATAAAACCACATATTTTAATCTTGTTTTTATCTGGCGACATTGAATCTGACCTCCAGGAGGAAACGTGGGCTCTCCGGCATGAAGACGACTCCGACGAGTGCAGCCAGCGCAGGGAAGAGGCACACCAGGATGAATAACCTCCAACTGTGGATCTGGAACTCTGAGCCGATGGCGAAGCCCCAGCCTGGAAAATCATCCAGCAAAGAGCATGTTATATTTAACACACCTTTGGTTTATACAAAATCTATTTTTATGCACCGATGAATCCATTTTGCCATGAGTTGTTGCATTTGAAAACATTGAATGGATTTAAAAACTGTGACAACCAGTTGGATTCCAATAGAATTATTTTCATTTCCTGATGGTGGCATAATTTTGACTTATTTTAGCGTGAGTTATTCATATTTATTTTCCTGGGGGAAATTCTCTAGATGAGGCTCAAGCACAACAATTCATTTAGACCCATCCCTGTCGTTCGTGGAGACTGAGAAGAAAAAAATTGTCAAACAACTAAATGCACCTCCAGTGAAGTCAAATTCAAACGTGAGTCTCATCCATGTGTGTGTCTGGTTGTGTTGAGTCAGCGCGTGCGTTCGTTACCATAGTGAGGGATGATTCCCCAGGCGGTGAAGGAGGCGTACAGGCCTCCCAGCATCCAGAACATGCAGAGCCAGCTCAGGTGCTCCCCGCGTTTATCCATCTGCAGGAACTCGGCATAGTAGGTGTACACTATCGGGATGGAGCCGCCGATTCTGGGGGAGGAATCGCAAGACGCCTGAGAAAATGGTCTCCCTCAATAAACACCTTGATGTTTGTCCATCATTCTCTGAGGAATTGGAGGATGATTTGCTGGGATTTCTATTAGTGATTGTGAGTTCATTCATTCTGATGACTTTACTGCAAGTATCTTTTTAAAAAAGGTTGATTCCCCCAAATTACACAAAACACACTTACTATGGATGTCTAGCTACATACTTTAGATATTTTTATTTATTTGTCCAGACTTTGAGACATCTGTCTCTGACTCCAACCCCACACATTGGAGGTGCATGGAATTACATTTTTAATGCCGGAAACGTTAAATATTACATTTAAAAGACTCAACAGCAATGTGCAACAAACTCTTAGCAATATTGATACAGTACGTTCAACATCAAGATAACCATTGACTTTCACTTGAGTCTGCTTGCTCCTTGTGTCTTGACTAACACGGGGCTCATCATCAGCAACAGAGGACTGTTTTATTCTGGTTACGTCAGCTTTGCAAAAAGCTCAAACATCAGTATTGCAGGTCCGGGTCCACTCAGGCGTCACTCACTCATTATCGATAGAAATGTGTAGGAAAAAAAAAAGAAGCTCCACCCCAAGGTGCTGGCGACAGCAGAAAGTCAGCGATAAAACGCAAATGAAAAACAAGCAAAGAGCATTGTTCACTCGTTTTAATTGGTGTAAGAAAGAAATGCTCTAATGGAGTAAACATATGGAGTAAACGTATAATGTAAATGTGCTTTATTAACGAAGAAAATAAACTGACAATTTTATCGACTGGTGTTCCTGATTTACGTCCTCTCTCTACCTCTGGCTGTTCTCAAAGGGCCCCAGTTTGGTTTAATGGAAGTGCTTCCCATCACTCATCCCCCCTTAAATGCCAAGTGTCTTATTTTGGAACAGACGCCGTCAAATACAAGGGGGGGAATTCGTTTTTTCCCGCCAAAAAAAACTGAAATGTTACAGACTTTTCCACTAAAAAAGATTAATGATGGCAAAGGTCAGTGATTATAAAAAGCCAGTCGAGGCGTCTGACTCTCAGGCAAATGTGAGTGTGAACATCCATACAGAAGTAAACGCGTCTCACCCAAAGCCGGAGCAGAACCGGAAGAAGAGGAAGAAGCCGTAGCTCTGAGCGAAGCAGGACAGGAAGGAGAAGACCAGGTCGATGGTCAGGACGTAGATCAGACACTTCCTCCTCCCCATCTTGTCAGATAGACCCCCCCACACCAGCGCCCCCACCATCATGGCCACGTACACCAGAAGACCTGGGAACACACACACAAATACAAAACCCCATTTGACCTTTACACTTAAAGGTCAATATGCATGTTTTACTCCCTTAATGCACACTGGATGTCATTGAAACACACAGTGTTTGGCTCTGCAGGCTCTGCATTAATACTGTATGTACTTGCACACATATGCAAACACACAAACATCACTGGGAGGAAAAACTGTGGTAGATCTGTTATTAAAAAAAAAGAGCCATGATCTCCACAAGGGGGCTCTCTTCACCCTCGAATGAACACAGAGCAAGCGGGAATTCATCACACTTTGCACCGTGATTCAGTGTGAAGCATCCTCACACATGCACGCTCTGATCAACAAAGAAAACGTAAATAAGACTGATAATGAAGCTCTCAAGATTTTTGATTGAGCAATAAAGGTCATAATCATTTTTTAGTGCATCACTTCCACAATATTCACCGTCCATATATATATATATATATATATATATATATATATATATATATATTCTCCTTTTAAAGTTTGACATGTTATTGTTACTTTGATTACACGCTTTAACAAGGCAAAATTCGTTCTGTCGCATTTTATTTTATGTTATTTCTTAGTCACAGCGACCTGGAGCATATCCCAGCATGCACCACACAGGAGGTCTACTCTGTCATTAGATTTTTGTTGCAACGGTTACCGACTGTGCCGAACATTAGAGATAACAATCATTGCTTCCTGTTTATTAATGTCTCTAGGGAGAGTATTATGCTCTAACCTACAACCTGGGCCGTCCACCTTGCCGTGTTGTTTAACCCTCCAGACCCATACCTCCTGCCTGCTCTGTGTGTTTTACTACACAGCCCTAATTACAGTGGGACTAAGCAGCTTAACGGCACGTGGAGCCGTAGTGTGCACCTTCCCCTGTGGATTACGAGGCCATCCGAACGCTTCGGCGCTTCCACACGCCGCGCTGCACATCCCCCTAAATCATTCAACAAGAGACTTTGCTGAGGGCACCGGGAGACGAAGAGTCAGGGCTAACATGTCAACTAATATCTTGGCCAAGTTGTTGCTGAGGGCAATATGTATGCCTTATGTAGGCACATGGGCCGGGTGACAGGAATGGCCTTGTGATTGGACGGTCCGTCCTTCAGGTGGAGGCCGAGGATCAACACCCGCAGTAACAAGCTATCTGTCTGTTGAGCACAGCGGAGACACGGAATCCCTGGAGGGCAAAGACCAATTTTCCCTTTTCTGTTACAGCATAAAAAGTGAAAGCACTGTAAGTGCACATCACACATCTAGATGCAGAGGCAATTATCCTGCAGACACCTGGACGGCATGCATTTTCCAAGTATACAATATGTTCAGACTAAAGAAATGTGAACCCTGTGTACATAATTCAACAGATGAGCATTTTCAGTGTGCAGATGACTTTGTTATGAGAAATTAAACTCATTACTGATGTTGCAGTATTAGCTCCATTTCTACAATCAAAACTTTACAGGATTGATTGAATTTGTATCCAGTGAATGAAAGTTAAAATTGTTGGAAGCAGCTGTTCGCAAATTCAGACTTAGCCTATATAACATACCAGGCTGCACTGCAGAAACTACTTCTTATCTAGAGAGTTGTTATAGCTGGTAATATGTACAGCCTGTCATGGTCCTGTTCTTGTTTCCTGTTTTATTTTGATAGATTCACCTTTTGTGTCATGTTTGGTTTTACTTCCTGCCTTTGTGTGTTTTTACCGCCTTTGCGATTCTGCTCTCGATGTGTATTCAGTCTGTGTTTCCCCTGTTTCATTGTCAGTACGTCGTTGCTCCTTTTGGGTAGTGCTTCATTAGACAGCGCTAAAGATTTCACAGCAACTGATTTACACGTTCCTTAAATTTGAATCATATAACCCAATTTAGTAAATAATCCCTTTTAAACTAGCTAGTTGTTACAACTAACTAAGGAAGAACTTGACATGCAATGACTAATGATAAATTGGCACAGTTTAAGAGAGAATTTAACATGAGTGTAGTGAAGCTGTCATTGTGTAAACGGACAAAGAAATTCTCTACAAACAGTAAAAAATCAAAGTTGATCAACAGGAAAAAGACGGAACTTGAGACATCTTGTTTGGTTGACATGTGAATAAATCAATTAATGCGAATCACCAAATGTATTCTACATTAACCCTTGAATAGCAGCGGGAAAGCATCATAAAATATCTATTTAATTGCAGTTCCAGTTCTATTACATATATACGCATTAGCTGCATTGCTATTTTGTATTGCTATTACATTACAAGTTTAACAATTTCCTTGAGATAACTGGTTAAATCACATGAAGTCTGAGATTTAAAACCTGCCATAACTGTCCCTTCTTTGTCTCCAGCAATGTGTCTCCCGCTATTAGCCTCTCGTGTTTACACCAATGGATTAAACAATAAAACCACCATGCAGGCCGAGTGCACCGGCTATCCTCCTCTTGTCAACAAAAGGTTGGGAGTCTTCTCTGCTATCCAACACTCAGGTTAAGATTAAGTACATTTCTGCTCTGGTGAGTCTGGTGAACAGAGCATGAGGGACAATCAAAAAAAGGATCATCCTGCAGATCTAATTCATATTCTCAGCCGATGATCGGCGCTCCCCTCTCGCTCTGCCCAAACAGACGCTGTGATTTAATTTTCGCCGGGGCCCTCCTCCTGCTACCACAGCCTGTCAGAGGCCTGAAGCGTATCTGACAGCTCCGCACCAGGCGCTGCAGGCCGCCAGGCTCTCTGACTGCTGCAACATGCTCCATATTAGCCTGGGAACACACGCTGAATACAATCACCTCCAGGTTCCTCATCAATCTCTCGCAATGCTTCATCCCAGGAGCCTGTTGTTAAGACGAAATGAGCTATGCACAACCTGCCACATTGCCTGGCTGCATGCGAGGCCTGGGAAATAAGGTGAGGGGCTTTAATTTGCAGTTTGGTTGTCTGCACAGAAAGTGAGGAACAGACGCTTTCAGGGTACATTTCCGAGTAAGTTGGGTCTATGCTGCATACAAATTTTAATATTCATTTTTTTGCCATGTTTACTGTTGTGCAGGGGCGTTTCTAGGATTCAAAGAAAGGGGGGGCTTAGCCCCAAGGGGAGTGGCATGTTTGTGCGCATAGCATGCGGCAATTTTTTTTGGGGCCCATTTGGGGCCGTGGATATCCATTGTTTCAGACAGTTCATAGATTGGTTCAATCAGAAAGAGCGGGATTTTGCTCTGTAGTTTTGCTTGCATGCAGTATATGATAACACAAGAGACAGAATTTCAGGGTCATAGTGAAATTTGACAACACAAATATGAACTTTTCTCAAATAAAGAGAGAGAAATAATTTTCCTGCTTGTAAAGGAAAAACGGATAAACTAGTTTTTTTTTTTTTTTTAAGCCAATAATGCCAAATTATTTGGGGGGGCTGAAGAACATTTTAGGGGGGCTTCAGCCCCCCTAAAATAGGCCTAACGACGCCCCTGCTGTTGTGGTATAATATTTGGGAACGAATAAAGCTGGCAGGCTAAGGAAATAAAGGAAACTCTCTCCACAGTATATTCAACTTTCAAAGCATATTGAAAGCAGGCGCTTATTTCTGTGTCTGGTATCTGACATATTTAAACAATTAACATGTGGTGTCGTGATCCTCCAGTCAACTTTCGGACATTAGGGTTCAATGCCAAGGCTCATCCGGTGGACCTAAACTCTTATGAGGACGCACAATGTTGCCTATTTTCTTAATTTTTGTATTTGCAAGCTTTGCACCAGCGCCTGCGGGATATTTCTGTCTGTGGTCTGCGACCATGTGCCGTCAAGAGCCAAACATATGCAGGATTTTGTCTCAGCCAAGCACAACAGCAGATCATTTCACTAATGGGGTTTCTCGTCTTTAGGTAAAATTTGGAACCCTTCAACAGATCATTATAATTAGCTAGACTTGTAATTAGCTGGTTTGGAGAAACATGTTTGCTAAACCAGTTTTTTAGCCATGCTAGCTGTACAGACATTTATCGTACAAAGAGGGTGAATTCTATCAACTCAGGCGGTCCTCTGGCATTTCCTGTTACGCCATCAGAGAGTTGAAATTTGTGGCTTTGCGTGAAGTGTCTGTACAACAATTTCATATATTACTATGCACTTTGATACACAAATTCCTGTTCCCCTCAGGATGAATTTGAATGGCTTTGAAGACGGTATCATCAAATCAAAACCTTGTTTTATAACTAAATACCTGCATACTAAATGACATCAGCCTCAGGTGTGTTTTGGGTTTAGCAAATGTTAGCATGCTAACACGCTAAACTAAGATGATGAATATGGTAAACATTACACCTGCTAAACACAGTTAGCATAGTCATTGTGAAGATGTTAGAATGCTTAAGTTAGCACTTATCTCAAAGTTTTCTTGCTTACATTTTTTTTTACCTATTCTATCCAAAGAAACCAAATTGAAACCAAATGTATATGTAATTTATATATTTAAATTTGGAATGAAAAACTGAAGCCAGGTTCATGTACGTTTTTGCCACACACACTTAGTAGAAACCTCAGTTTTTCCACCTTCCCTCCCTCTGCTGTCACTTACCCAGCAATCCTTTGTCGGAGTTGGATATGCACATGTCCTTCTCAGCACTGGGCAGGACGAAGCCCACCACGAAGCCGTCCACTCCGTCGGCCATCAGCGCCAGGCCCAGCACGAAGAACAGCATCCACTGGAAGCGCCCGTGGCCGCAGTCCTCCATGATGGTCTCGTACTGCTCTGGCAGGTTGTCCTCCTCCTCTTCCTGCTGGACAGCCTGACGGGCTTTCCTCCTGGCCTCCATCCGAGCCGCCCGCCGCGCCTCTTTGATCTCGTCAGGGTGGGGGACACCTTGGTACTCCCCCTCGTACATCTGCTCGTCATCGTCCGCGCCCTCCGTGGCGTCGCTACGAGCGTCCTCGTCCTGCGGAGGGTAGTCGGCCTGGTAGGGGTAGCCATCTTGACCTCCCCCATCCTGGGTGTAAGTGTATTCCCCACCTTCTGTCACCTGCTGGCTCACGTTGTTGTGATAGGGGTCATCCATGGTTCCTGCTGGGTGCAAACTGACTTTGCCTTGTCGCCGTCGTACTCTAAGGAAGCTCAAGTTGTCAGCTATAATGGCATAATCCTCCTGAGGAGCTGTGAGTTGCTCTCGGTGTTAGTGCAGGAATTCTGTGCGATCTTCTGGGAAGTCTCGGCCTCAAATGTAAGGCCTCAATTGCTGCCTTGAAAGATTTTTACCTTCCTTGACGTGCACAGTGCTGCATGCTGAACCTAAAACACAATGCACACCACACATTGCAAATTATCTGTCAGCAGAACGGCAAAGGAGAACGCACTTGTAGAAGGCAGAGACATTGCCATGCAACAGTGCCCTTTGGGACGGCCTGTGACCTGCCGAGTCAAGTCACAATTACAGTCTCAAATGGCTCAACAACATTCATATTGTGGAAACATTAAGGAAGTACATCATGACCTTTGACTCTCTTTGACAAAGTCCTTGGAACTATAGAAGTATGTGATTTGCCTATATATGTCATGTAATCTTAGAAGGTCAAAACATTTCTTTGTATTTCATTTCACTCCCACAGCTTATGTTAACTGTTTTGTCTAGCTTTTTGTTGCTTTGCTTTAGTTCCCTATCCTGTCAATCCAATCCATGTTAGGTTATTTATTACTTCATGTAAAGGACTTAAAGTCATACATGAATACAGGCTATTATTCTAGACAGAAATTAAAAGTGTAATTTGGCAGAACGGAGCAGTTCAGGACTTCCAGTCTCCCTTGCAGGCCGCATGTGCTTCCACACAACCAGATAATCTCATTGTCCCTCTACCCTCAGATGCTGTGACGCCATTTTGATCCATCACACAGCGCTGCTGCAACAATGACACATTCAGATCTGTCTTGATTTTCATAGTGACCAGAGGCTAGGGGCACCAACAGGATGACAGTAACACAAATTATTTATCGTTTTAGGAAAGTTGGTTGTCACATGCTTCATTGTCATGATTAAGTGACTTGCACAGTGAAGTGAGGCACATATTCTTACAAATCAAGCATCTGTCAGCCTGGGGCTGGCTCCTCTGTATATTACAGATAAAGAAAGATGACATATAACGTTTTGTGACAGACAACCAAGCAGCATAGCAAAAAGTAGAGCACACAATGAGAAATGAGTCACTTTGTTAAACTATAAAGTAACACAAACCTTCATTTAACCTCCATGCTCACATTAGTTTTTTACTTGTCCTGCAACAACTACATTCTTGCTCAAGTGCATCCTGGTAGTACTGCACTATCTATAAAGTAATGCATGTAACTTTTACAGTGGAAATTACAGAATAATGGTAAAACTAAATGGGTATTACTTGGTATATGACTATTTCTTGTTATATGTGTATTACTTGTTGTATGGGCATTAGTTGTTTTGGTATTACTTGTTATAAAGCTATTACCTACGGGTATTACTTGTTACATTGGTATTACATGTTATATACGTATTACTTGTTATATGAGTATTATTTGTTGTATATGTATTAATTGTTGGATATTACTTGCTATATCGAAATTACTTGTTATATGGGTGTTAATCGTTATCCTGCCGTTACTTGTTACACGGTTACTACTAGTTGTGTGTTAATTGGTATATGGTACTTTTAACAATGCATCACTTGATATATGAAAGACTTCAGGAACTTATCGTCTGACAAGTGGATGGCCGGTTTGGGTTGGTCTGTCCTGGTTTGGCGCCAACATGACGAGCACTGTAATTTAATCCAGATTAAGAGTGGAGATTTTTTTTTTTTCATTTGGCCCTCGTTGCCTCACATCATTGTTTCATCATGAAAGTCATAGAGGTGGCTGGCAGTGGATTATGGAGTCTGGATTGACGCACTGAAATGTACCTGCTGCTCTTGGATGTGTAGTTTGTGAAATCCCAAAGTGGGCGTTTCATGCAATGATCATTTTTGCTGTTGTTGACGCGAGTAATGAGCGGAATTGCAGTACCATGATTTGAGCAAGATCATCTTAGCGCGTCATGCCATGTTGTTGTTTTTTTCATTTGTTGTTTCCTTCAGTAACCTGAATAATACATGAACAATTCAGGGGAGAAAGTGAGAGGACGGATGCTCACTCTGGTCGAGGGAAGCGGTGTTGCTTTCATCATCCTGCTGCTGCAGCGCCTTTACTCACACAGCTGGCGCTTACATAACAGAGTACAGCTGCCTGTACTCCCCCCCCCCCGTCTCCCTCCCTCACCCTTCTCTTTTATCCTATTGATCTGTGTTTGAGTTTATGAATGTATCAAGTCGACCGCCCTTACCCCCGACTCATGCACATTAATTCAGATGTCAAATCAGCATCTTTCGCCTGTGCAGAGTTTGAATAGGTCGTGATCTGCCTTCCTCCGGGGGCGTCCACCAGGGTTGAAAAGTCAAAGAGCTCCTTTGAATCATGAAAATCAATGTGAGTCTGAGTTTTAACAGGAAGCAGATAGGTCACTGTGTAATTTACCAAAAGCTATCTCAATTTCACAAGTGACCTACCGTCGCAATCATTTATTAGTTTGCTTGAGCCAAACTCTGCCGACTTTGCTTCGTTAGCTTCTGTTGCTTTTTCTCCGGAGAGGGACTTACCCACGAGTGAAGTAGCATATTAATGCTGCGGTAGCAGACTTTGGAAGGATGGCTGTATCAACACGCAGTAGATAAAGCCGTTCGAGCATCATTTACGCCGCCCTGTCACCTGGAATTCACTCAGCCACAAGCTTCCTCTGCTGGTCACAGAGCAGCTCCAAGTTTCTGGCTCTGCTTTCCCATAAGTGGTTACAGACAGTTGGGGAAGTGTTTATTTATTGACTTTCTTCACCGATATTTGCACATCCAGGGACTTGGATGTAAGCTGTTATAAAAAAAAGGATAATATAATTAAAATCTTGACTTGTTTGTTTGTCTGTCACGGTTATAATTAAGCAATTTTAACCTCAGATGCGTTCCATTATGTATGTACGCTTTGCATTTTGTCATCTCCATCCCTTTTTCTTTTATAATCTGTTTTGCACAAGATGTTTTAATCAGCCCCTCTGGGTGACTCCATTACACGTGCACAGTTTGTATTAGTTGCTTCCCCTCAATCTGCTTTCATTGCGTTGTTTTTATTTGTACTAAACTTGGAACTCAACCAAGAGAGTTGATTTAAAAGAAAAATCCCTCCCTGCATCTACAATGTTTGATCCGAACCTGACAGCTGATTTGCTTTATCATACATGCATGGGGAAATAATGCACCTGAACAGTTATTGAAAGGATAAAAAAAACAAAAACATGCTGCATAACATGATTTCCATTTGTCCTGGCACAAAAAATGTCTGGCACCTTTCTTCCAGTTTGCACCACCAAGGTTCCACAGAACAGCAAGGTAAAGGGGTTTGAATGCCACTGAGGCCAGAGATATTACACACACACGTACTGTTTCTTTAAAAACAACAAAAGAAAACATCTATGATCTACCTATCTACTGCATGCTTTGTATATGTCGGTGGTAAAACTCAACTGTCACAGCGGTGAGTTTATTTTAATCTCAGCTATTGTGTGACCTCGAGAGGTCAAAGTAAGATCCAACACGATTTCTGGGGACCACCTGTCCGCTAACCTGTCAGGTTATGTTTATTAGCAACATGTTTCTGAGTCCCGTAATGTCACTAGGTCAGCTGAGGAGCAGGAGTTGCCGTTTTGGGCCTTATTAAGAATGTCACTTGATATTTGCATGCCAATAACTTTGCTACCGGGAAATGCAACGCTGAATAGACCCTGATGACAGAGACAGTACATTCAATATCCTCTTTCCTACACATCTCTACGCATCAGCTCCAAACAAAAGCTGACAAATGTGACCAATGATACAATGTGTTGCAAAAACATCTTGTTTTAAGAGTAGCAGGGGGACTTGAGATTGGCAAATAATAATTTATTCATGGCCTGGAACATTTCTATTTAGATGAAAGGATTCAGTTACACACATGTTGATGGCTGATCTATAACTGCTACATTTTGATGTTTTTGTAACAGATAAAACGAGAACAATAAATGATGGCACCGCAGGTATCTTTTCAGCCTAAATGATTCCTCGCTCCCTCACGAAACTGTTAAACTAAATGGCACAATGCATCTGAACAGCAGCATGGAAGGAAAACAAAGTTGTTGTCTTACCAGAGTTGGGTATCTCCTTAATGTCAAAATGACTTCTGAACAAAACAAACATAAATAAAAATGTGCAAACGTCCAAGTAGCATTTTCCAAATGTCCAAAGCCTACATGTCGGTTTATCCTAAGGCCGAGCTGCAGCCAAGGCTGAGAGATTAAGATCCAGCCTCACGATCCCCCGCCACCACCAACCCCTCCCTCACCAAGGCTCATCCCTACAGGAACTAACGCCCCCACCACACCCCCCCAACCCCCACCTCTAGGACCCAGTGGTACAGTCCTTCAAGTGTAAAGAGCAACAGGCTACACAGATAGAGGCTGCAGAATGTGGAGACTCTCCACAGGGTTTTTAGCGATACTCTTGATCCCTGCAGACGCTCCTCCACGGAGAGGTCAGGGGTCACCGTCATCTGGCAGAACAAGCAGCCCTGGAGACCTTCAGCGGTCTGCAATCACTGTCAAGTGATCTCCAAGAGTGTGCTCGTTTACAGATTCCATTCAAACGCCACACGGGCGTAGTGTCATCACAGTGGTGGACTGGTTTTATATTTGGATGATGGCCTGCCTGTAGTTACACCAGCCGAGCCCTCCTGCTCCCATAAGGGCAAGGCCCTGCAATAGCTGCGTGTTCCGTCAAAGTGTCCTTGAGTGAGACATCGCCTCTCCGCAGCTGCTCATCCATCCCGAAGTAGCTCCGGATATGCACATCGGCAAAAAAAAAGAAGAAAAAAAGGCAAAAATATCCCTCTTTCCTTGAAGCAGGAAGGACGGTTCGTTTTATCGGGCGTGGATGAGAGCAGATGTGGTAATGAATGAGTCTGAGTGGCACCTATACTGCGAGGGGATGGATAATCATAGCTCTTCCTGCACCACACATCATCCCTGTGGTTTACATACAGAACACATACGGAGTGGGGAGTAGCGGCAGCATTTATACATGTCGGATGATACGGTGGATCTGTGCCACGCTCGTCTCAAATTATAGTATATTATATGACATGAAAAGCTTTTTTATATGTGGATGGATTACTTTGGGCCTCAGTAGGCCGTCACTACCTTCCGTCTGCAGTCTCGCTCGGCCAAAACGTCTTTCTCTAGTTTAAACCGAAAAAGGCTTTTCTCAGTTTCCCTAAACCCAATTTCCCATCCTCTAATTGATTGTTTTGTCGGATGAACACTCAAAAACCCCTCAGATATTCAGTATATATTAAGCATTGCACGCATTGCACAATGTTACACTGACAAGGGCCATTCTGCTGATGCATACTTGTACTAATTCTTACTTTTACTTTGGATACTGAAAGTACAGTTTGTTGCTTCATTCTTTTGTACTTATTGGGGTTTCTACTTTGTCTTAAAGTGGCAATCTCGACGACTTTAATTTCCATAAACTTCTGTTAAGTCACTATCTATGGCCGAATGGGGTAACACAACACAACACACGAACAAAAGTATTGCAATATTTGTATATTTGCAGTATCACTAAATGTGTCTGTGGCGACATTACCAGTAAAAAAAAAAAAAAGGTTCTATTACAGCTTTTCCTCCGTTGCATAATTGCCACTATATGGATATAAAATGGTGATCACCCCCCCCCCCCCCCACCACCAGTGGAAATGGTACGGCCTGCTATGGGACATCATTATACAGAGTAGATGTCTTGCATAGAGGCAAAGCCCTCTAATCCGAAGGCCAGATAATTCGAGTGCAAAGAGGATTAGCTCCACCACAGCAGAGCCATTGGCTAAATTTAGCCCCCATACTCTTAGTCTCCATTTAACCCCACCTCCGAGCCCCACCCTCGACTCCTCTCCACCCATCCACCCAGACGCACTGTCCACCAATCACACTCCGCGCTTCGCCATAACGCCATCTCTCCAACTGAATAATCCAGCATCTACAGGCCCAACACTCAGGCCCTGAATCCTGTTCGTGTTCATGATAAAGTGTGAAAACCTGCGTATCGGCGCGACCACGTAGAGTTACCCTGAGAGGAGAAGGGGCTACTAGCACGCCAATCTCCCCCCCGATGCCTCACGCCATTTCGTCTGCAGAGCTTTGTCCTCTGGGGGACGCGTTGGGATTACGGTTGATGGTGGCTTTGAGAGGAGGGGCCTAGCCCACACAATCCCTGCGATGGCGAGCAAACTGGATTGCAGAGGCATCTCATGCGAATATCCGGGAAATGAATAGCTTCCACGGGGGTGGATTCTGGGGAGCAGTGATAAAATCCAATCCCTGTGTCTCTTTTATTACTGGTCTAACTTTAAAGCCACTGCTACTTTATTATGTTCCTCTAGTGGACTCCATGATGAGTCCAGGATCATATAAATGATTGTTTCCTCTCTCCTTGCAGTTAGCTGCTTGCTGATGGCATTCAAAGTTTATTCTAAACAGCTATATTTAAAATACAGTGAGGGTTTGTGCCAACTTGCGAAATGATTTACTCTCTCTCTTCGTTTGCTTGTCTAACATGAGCACTTGATAAATGTTGGGTCTTTTCTGTCAGATGTTCCTGAGATATATTGTTTTGAAGCCCCTCTGGGATTCAGTGTCACCTACTCATGCTTCAGCTCTGTTTTTTAAGTGCCTCATCCTCTGTTCGTGGGCGCCCAATCACTTTAAGATAACAAGGCAGAGGAGAGACGCAGAAAACAAAGCCCTGCTGGTGCAATTACTGCGACATAGTTATGTGCTATTTTTCCTCCGCTGAATGGGCCTCAATTAAGGCAGTGGATGGTGGATGTTTAAAAAAAAAGGTGTGGGGCAAGTCCTGGAACCATACTGGGGCTTTTCATTTGGCTCATTTTCCATTCCGGTCTATGTGCTTGATGTACCTACATGGTGAAAAAAATACAATAAAAATTCTCCGACGTGAATGATAACGTGAAAACAAAATCCAGATAGGTAAGTGGTTCACTTTATGACTGTGTCCTCTCTTCTCCCACACAGAGTAAATATGAGGTTATACAGCCTATTCAACACTAGACTAATGTATTTACATAAAAATATTGTGTGAGCAACAAGAAGTCAGGCCCCTCTCTGTTTAGTTTCCCCAACTGTGCTTCTTTTGGAATTTTCTCTCTGGAGTGGCTGTGCCTTCCCTCCTCCTGTTTGCTCCTATTTAAAGAGGGAGTTAATCCGCTGGGCTTCAGTGAATGGAGGCGGGATGTGGAGGCGGGTGGGAGGGCAGCGTTGGTCCCACTCGGTTGGACGCGCCAGGCTCGAATTAAGCCACCTAACTTGGTTTCTGGCATGCATCCGGGACTGCATTACACACACACACACGCACACACACGTAAACTTTGACCTAAACACAGGCCTTATAAAGAAAAACGTACAAACGATATTCAATCATAGTTTTACTATATTGAAAATTATTCGAACACTCCATTCTTAGGTCTGAAGACTGTTTTCATCCAGGAAGACTGGTGGAACACACACACCCACAGAGAGAGAGAGAGAGAGAGAGAGAGAGAGAGAGAGAGAGAGAGAGAGAGAGTTTGTGTGACAGTGATTTGTATTGTGGTGTGTGTCTCACAAAGACTAAATCCCAGTTGATGGGATGAGCTGGATTTACTGACCCGCAGCACCACGGACACTGACATCTTGTGGACAAGATGATAAAAGCTTAAAGCGGCACCTCACCTTGATGCACACATCAGCGCCAACAACGATGTATTGCTCACAGCGCTATTCCAATACTCCAGCCAGTTATATAATCATGACTACCTCCATTTATTTCAATAAATGAAGGAAATAAAACCCCAAACAAAAAATGTCCCTCATACTTTACAATTGTCTTACCTTGTCTGTGACACACAAAAGCCCGTTGGTTCATACTGAAGACGTAAACAGCTTGGCACTGTTATTTTTAACAAATGTTACTCAAACAGGAGTAAATTGTAAATTTGCTGAGGACTATTTTTAGCAGCGGATTAATACCCTTTTTTTCACAAATGGGTGTACTACCCCATAGGGATACTTTGGAGTAGGGCTGGGAGATAATTTAATATCATAATTCATTGTTTTTCAATGGAATTATAGCGTAATGAGATATCAGGATACACAATTACATCATCTTAACCGATGATAATAAGAAGCACATACTTACTCAAATTTCTCAGAAAATCTGATTATTCTGTACTAAAGTTGAAGTTTTTAAGTTGAATAAATGAGGAAATACTCCTACTTTTCATTCGCCAACTATTTAATTCACACAAGAGTTAACAGAACCATTATTATATTATATTTATTCATTGAATTACCAGAAAACATGCTATTTCATGATATGTATCATTATCGAGATATGGAATGACCGACATTGGGAGAGAAGATTTTGGTTATATCGCCCAGCTCTACTACTTCATTTAAAAAAAATAGCAGTCATGCATTACTCCTAAAATAATTATAAGTTCAATGAAAAAATCTAAATGTAAGTTCAATAAACCACATTTTATATTCAATATTGCTATTTGCAATGCTATTGTTAACTGCCGTAAACTGTCAATGGCTCCAACAAACGCAATCAAGTTCACGATTACATTTCATATGTATTTTTTTTAAACATTTTTTCAATTTAAGTAAATGACAGAGAGGAATAGACTATATCGACAAATGCTTGTTAGTATCATAGTTGGTTTTAGCATTTTCATTGGATTTGTTAACAATTTAGAAAATAAAACATAGAATATCACCAGCTTTATCCTTTTACAGGAGCACACACATGTCTGCTTAAGGTGGCAGCGTTAGATATTACCCGATCCAACCAGCTGAATGACAGCAGCATGACCGGTACACTGTTATCTGTGCAACTACACCGCACCGCATCAAGATAATTCTGAGGTGTGTTTTCATGCTCTTACACATTCTCACAAGCTTAGATGGAGAGACAAAAAAAGTGAGGAGCTGCCGGAAAATCATACATCTAGAGTCAATTTGAATGTGACAGTTGGAGAGAATTGTTTTACCTCTCGGGTTAGCATGTAGAAAAAGGCCCGCTGAAACAAATGGTGGGTGTCAGTTGAGTGAACTGTGTTGCCAAGAAAACAGACAGCTTCAACCCAGAGTAAGCTTTTTAGACATCTGCTTGGTCTTTGTGCTGTCAGAACTTTTCATATTGTGTCCACTTTGC